TCTCCTGATCTTTCTTCCATAAAGGAATTTGATGGAAACCAGAATAGGCGTCCATAAAACTCATCAAGGCATGGCCGGCTGTTGAGTCGACCAGGTTATCAATTTTAGGCAGAGGGTAACTGTCTTTGGGGCACGCCTTGTTCAAGTCTGTGTAGTCTACACACATTCGCCAGGTGCCATTCGGCTTTTTAACAAGCAGCACATTTGCAACCCAGTCTGGGAAGTAACATTGCCGAATGAACCCTGCATCAAGTAATTTTTTGACTTCGGCGGCTGCCGCCTGACTTCTTTCTTCGCCATGGTTCCGCTTCTTTTGCCGTACCGGCTTCTTTTTCGGATCCACAGCGAGTTTATGTACTGCCAGATCAGGACTAATGCCTGGCATTTCATGGACTTCAAATGCAAAGATGTCCTTGTATTCTTTCAACAGGTTGTGAAAGTCGTCACCAAGGTTTCTCAGAGCAGTCGTCCCAACTTTGACTGTTCGGTCAGGACGTGAGTCATCTAATATCAGGTCCGCATGCTCACCAGCCGGCTGAGGGCGGAACTCATCCGGCCGCTCCTTTGCCAATAATTTCTATTTTCTTGCTTTTCTTGCGGACTCTGTCTGGGACGCCTTTCTCTTTTTGTCGCCTGTTTCTTGAACAGGCGCTCTCTCCTTGACATTGTCTAGGTCTGTTTTTTCTCCACTTGACCCAGTGGCCATAACAGTGGGCTTGACATCCGAGAGATAGCACTCTCGGGCCATCCTCTGATCTCCCCTTAGGGAGCCGACTGTTCCATTATCCCTCTCAAACTTAAGCAGCATAAGAGACGGGATTATAACAGCCTTGGAATTATTCAGGGTTGGTCGACCCAGAATCATGTTGTAGGCCGAGAGTTCCTCTACTACTAGGAACCGGACTACCATGTGTCGTCCTTCCCCTTTTTCGCCCAGGCGAATGGGTAAATCTACTCGTCCCAGTGGGTGGACGACTCCTCCTCCAAACCCTATTAAAGGGTGGGAGGCCGGATGTATGCAGTCCGTCTGATATTTCAGTTTTGACAGACATTTGCTGCTGATGAGATCTGAGGAGCTCCCGGTATCTATGAGGATTCGGCCAACTCTCTGGTTGGCCACTTTACATTCAATAACGAGAGGGTCGTCATGCGGCCCCCTTACCCCTCCTAGATCCTCTTCAGTGATGACAATCTCAGGAAATGTATATTTGGACGGCCGTTCTTGGTGAACGGAATTTACATCTAACCGCCTTATATTATCTTTGTTGCCCCTAATAGTGGGGCCGCCTCCTGAGAAGCCGCCTGCAATAGTGTAGACGACTGCATCATCTGTATCGGAACTGTCGGCCTGTTGATTCTTTTTGGCCGACTGCTTTTTTGAGGAAGTGTTTCCCGTAGATTTCTTGACATAAGTGTCAAGATCACCTTGCTCAGCCAAGCGGTCTAGGTACCGCATGAGACTGATGCAGTCATTGGTGTGATGACCAACGTCATCATGATAAGCACAGATTTTGTCTTGGTTCCGGTTGTTTGCAGAACCCTTCATGGGGAGCGGCTTCTCAATTGAGAACCGTCCTTTTATTTCTTTCAAGATAGACTGGTTATCCTGTTTAAACACATACTTTGGGGAGTATGGTTTGTATTCTTTTTTCTTTTTCTTGGCCGGCTGTTTAGAGGAATCAGCCGCCCAGACCTCTTTTCTTTTCTCATCTTTGTTAGACGACTGTTTTTGTCGTCCTTCTCTTTTGTCGAACCTTTTCCCGTCCGAGTGTTTTATCGTACACAGATCAGTCGCCTGTATATAGGCTTCTGCTTCAATCAAGGCCTCTTGAAGAGTCGCCACCCTTTTTCGAACTAAATCAAATTTGAAGGTAGACCCGTCTTTGAGACCTCTAAAAAAGTCAGTATAAGCTACCTCATCCGGTAACCCTTGAATCTGTATTCTCATCAGGTTGAACCGCCTGATGTAAGAACGAAGCCCCTCCTTCTCGCCCTGCTGAATTGTTCCCAAATCAAGGGTCGTTTTCTTCGCAGGGATGTTCATGGCGAAGTTGGAGGCAAATAAGTAAGCAAGCGTCCTGAAGCTGTTTACACAACCAGTCGGCAGGTTGCCGAACCATTGCTGTGCGATTCCCTTGAGAGTCGCTGGGAAACACTTGCACCAAGTGGGATCATCCAACCCTTGAAGGTACATCAGGTTGGTGAATGCCATCAGATGGTCTTCTAGATTAGTAGTGCCGTCATAGGCGCCTACTAGTACATTTTTTACTTTGGCCGGCTGAGCGGCTTCAGTAATTTCCTTGGAGAAGGTTGACGGCTGTTCACCAAGTCTAAGCAGCCGTAGCTGCCAGTCCATAGGTTGGACGTTTTTTGCTGCAGGTCCACCAAATGGAGGTGGCTGCATAAAGTACTGTTGTTGCGGCACAAATGGTAAGTTTGGTACCGCCTGGGCATTATGAAAGCCGGACTGACGGGAGGTGCCGCCTGACTGACTCTCATGGTACGACTGAGTATGCCTCATAGAGGTATTTCGCAAACTGTCTTGGAAATTTGAAGTAGAAGCCGACTCTGACAATCGGTCACTCTTCTTCTGCTCTAGCAGTAGCCGAGCATCTGTGAACGTTTGCTTTGACCCGTCCGCCTGAATATGACGAACCGGTTTCCTATTTCCCGTAGGATAACGGAATTTTGTGAAATCAAGAGCAAGTGGCTCCCGCTTCTTGGATTTAGGATGAGGAGTCGCCTCTCGCCCTTGAACTGGCTTCCTCTTCAATGAAGTGGAAGGCTTTTTGGCCGACTGCTCTTTGACTGAAGCAGGCGGCTTTTTGTTGATCAACTCTTGAATCTCTCCCTTGAAGTCCCTCATGAAGGTCATGAGTTCGTTCCTTGTGATGGGAGCAGACCCATCAGTCGGCTGTTGCCGAGCAGGCAGTGCGCCTGCTGGCTCGCTTCCTGTTTGAAGATGCTCTCGTTCCCTCCTTTCGGTATGACGGGTACGTCGGGCCCTTAGGGTCCCGTCTGGAGCTGTATGAGTTTCCACTTCAAATTCACTTTCGGTATCATGGTCCGACTGAACTTGAGGGTCGTCTAGGGGACGCCTCTCTTCTGGAGTCGGTACAGACTTGGATGCCATCTTTGAAGTACTCTCCCCACAGACGGCGCCAAATGTTTCGGGGTTTTCTGATGTCCTGCGGGAGAGTTACAATTCCGAGACTGGAACCGGACGCCTGTACCTGCAAAATAACGGAAACTCCTGAGAGCTCCGCCTCCAACGGTCAAGTTAGTACCTAATTAAGGAGTAATTAATACGGAAATTAAATCAATAAGATCTCTCTAGGTGAGAGTGTTTAATGTTGGTAATCTGCGTCGTTAGCGAGATTAGCCGGTTATTAGTGTTCCGTAATGTCTCTGTTCTTCTCTGCTTGATTTCTATTATTAATTAATGAGGATTAATTAAGTATTTATAGCCTTGAGAAGCGTGCCACTCTCTAGGTTTAAGGTAAACCTAGGGCTGACCGGGCCTCTAGACTGGATTGGGCCTTGATGGCCGGTTTTCCCATTTGGCATGGGTGGACACGTGGCGTGCCTCGATTGGTCCGTAGAGGACGTATCTGTGACTGACACGTGGCAGGCTCCTATTGGCCTTCGTGAAGGACACGTGGCGGAACCTGGTTGGTCCACTTGTCAGACGGTGATTGGTGGATAAAAATCCCCTAATCAAAGTTGAGTGGTATAACCCGAGCCCTAGAATCCTCTTAACATTGATAACCTCCCCTTAGCTTTTAGTTGTTTTGAACTAGTACAAGCTACTTTAACCAAACCAACTTTGACTTCATTTAGCTTATTTGAACGGTAGTATCTCGGTGGTTGATTCAACGTCTCTCTTGGGTTCGACCCTTTCTTACCCTTGCTATTAGTTAGTGAGACCAAGATAGGATTTATCATTTGGTAGGCTCGACGACGGCCTATCAATGGTACCTCGTCTTAGGGTAAGGAGTCAAATACCCCTTTCTTTTCGGATAGCCTTTGTCATCAACATAATATTTACCTAAAATAAAGTTAATAAAAAAAATTAGCTTTAACATTCATTAAAAATTGGGGCATTAGGAATAATTATGTATAATACCTTATGGGGGTTTTGGAAACTTGAGTCTTGGATCACCAATTGTATCAAGAAATATTCGTGAATCATGAGCTGAGCCTTCCCATCCCGTCAACATGTATGTAAACAACAAATCAAAGTCACATACAGCTAAAACGTTCGTAGTTGGTATACCTTTCCTTCCTTTGTAACGAAGTTGGTGTTCTTCGGGGACAATTATTGATATATGTGTACCATCTATAGCTCCAATACAATCCTAAAATGAAACGGTTATCATTATATTATTTAACGATAACTTGTAAAATATTTTCATTTTTTTTGTTTTAACAAAAGGAAAATTGTATTACCTTGAAATATGGCATGTATCTAGCATCATTTGCTAATTGTCGTGGCACCTCCTTAAAACTAGGATCTTAGGTACAAGTATATCCCTTGACATTCCATCCATAGCATATAAAATTTCTTTGAATACTCGACTCATTGTTTCGCCGGAATGTTGAAAACGTTCTTGAGTTAATCTATTTAGGGCACCATGAGCAAGGACATACACAAATATGCCCACTTTTTCTATAATTGACATTCTTAACGATGGTTTTAAACCATACCTGCTTTCTAAATCTGTGCATAATTCCATAAATAAAGGAGGGTACATTCTAAGAGCATTAAAACAAAGTTTTCGTGACCGTTAAGTAACTCAATCATCCACATTTGGCCGGTTAAATACGAGGTCATACAAGGTTCCTTATATATATGGTTCAAACAATACTTTGTAATGTAACCTGCGTTGCAAGCAATCAAATAATCCCAAAAATTTTCCTCTTCATCTAAGTACTCTTTGCAAAAGAAGAGCATTTTAAGTTGCATATTATAATCCATACCTACAAACAAACAAGTTTAATTTCAAAATCAATTACATAACATAACTAATATTAGTATGATATATATAAGATTTAAATTTACAAAACAAGGATGAATTTCAATCATCCAACAAAAGTAGTAAAAGTAATCCCATTAACACCCATACAATTTTTCTCTAAAACATATATAAGGGTTAGGGATGCGTACAACATTTCCTATTTCTTTTTGTTTTGCAATGAGATATATATAAATTATGGGCTTAAAGAGCCATTTTAGAGCAAGTTCTAACAAAAAAAAAGATAGCATAAAATTCCAAAAGTGCATATGGTAATATTCTTAATTTAATTCAAAAGTTACCATATGCAATTCTAAGTAGTTAGTAAAGTCAGTAGCACATATCACTTGTGCCCCACATTTTGTGCATACATAAACCTTATGTATTCAACTCTTTTCTTATCATCCGGAAATTCTAAAAAGATTGTCCTTCTTTGTGGATCTTCAATGAGTGTACAAGCATAGTAAAATTCAGGTGAGCTGGAATAAAAATCATCCATGGAACACAACTTAACCATAGCATCAGTCACACTATATTTTGGTGTAGCAATATTCATATAATTCATCATTTTCACCATAGCAGTTTGAAACTCTTTTGTGGAACTATTCCTCTCATAAATTATTTCCATCATTTCATCAATTTTATCACTAAGGGCAGCACTCCTTCTAGACTTTTTATATTTTTCAAACCTTGCACTTTTGTTACTTGAAAGGAAACCACTCTCCATTACCCTTTTCCCTTTTCCTTTATCATTGATCTCATTAGGGGTGGATATGGGGTTAGGGGATGAAGGGCTTTGTTCCCTCCACATTGCATCCCATTCATTTCCCAAATTAGAACCTACTTCATCATAATCATTAACATAAGGAGAATGAGCGTGACGAAAACTAATGGGTGGAGAAGGAACATATGCTTCATCATCTATTGTAGGAGGATCGACCATTGGAGTAAACTTTTCGGCTCCTTGGGCACATCCCCCAAAAACTTGGTCCATTTTGTATTTAAGCTCAGGTTCGATTCCTTCATCACGAAAGATTTCAAATTTTGCATTTTCCTATCAAAAAAAGAATGAGTTAAAATTTTTCTTACCTTCCCCCATCTAATTAATCATTAAACAACACTCTTATGATAACATTAAAAAACTAACTTTTATTTTTGAAGGCCACCACTCATCACTTGCGGCAACCGTTCCTTTTTCATGATCCCACCCTAAGCCGGTTTCCTTCGATTTCAATTGTTTCCAAAGTATCTATTTAGACCTCATTCCATCCAATTTGTTTTTAAGCTGGCCTTTATCCCATGCTAAATTTGTGGCATTTTCCTAATTTTCTACCACTTTTTTCCACAATAACTTGTGTGAAGTAATATCGCCATTTTTTCCCTTACTCCACAATGTGTTTTTAATACAAAGATCAAAAGTATGTGGATTAATTCATTGGACCAAGTTATTCGATTTACATTCACCAATTCTTGTATTTCTCCATCATTTATCCTCTCCCCTATATGATTACTTTTTTTTCTTAGGGGCCATCTAAACATAAGTAAGTAAAAACATCATTACACAACTATTTCAGCTCATATACTACATAGCAAAATGAAACACCAAATTGTGATACGAAAGATGTAAATAACAATTACATATAACAAGATAATTAAAGTATAGAATAGCAAGTTTATAAGTCAAACTCTTAAAATTAAATACTCAGAGACAAGACATATGAAAGATGTAAATTGCAAATTCTTTCCTAAAAAGCTCAAATTGTAACAACACCATCAGTTATCAACCACATGTTTTTTTTCTAACAAAAAACTAATATTTCTATTATGTACTCCGTAGAAATTAGGAGATTAATTAAGCAAACCACCACACATACTTATATATATGAAAAAAAAAAACCACAATATTAAACAATTTTGTTATACTTACTATTAAATAAGTTATAATATACGTTAGCAACTACTGTACAAATTAATTTTGTATAATTAAATTTTGGGTGAAAAAGGGTGATAGTAGTAAAATTGGAGAGCAAACACTAATAAAGACATCATTTTGCTTTCTCTTCATTTTTTTCATGCATTAAGCTAGTTGGGATCTCACTTTTTTGATGAAATTGAATTTTATATTTTTTTAATTTTTTTATTTTAAAAAAATCAAAACTCATACATCAACAAATTGAGATCTCAGCAATTTTGTTTAAACTAACCAATAAGTCTTCCTATTTATGCTAATCCTTCTCTAATTAAAAGAAAATTGAAGAGTTTCATGGTAAATTCTACATCAAATTAAACCAAATTAAATGGGCATTTTTCTACAGATCTAAAAAACTTAATAACAAAAAAAAAAAAAAAAAAAAACAATCAAAGTTACCGAATAATGTAGTCATGCATTTGCCGAAGCTTGATTATGAATTTATGCTCCGCCGCTTCCGCCACTCCACGTTCACCTAAACTTCTCCCAAATTATCTCTGTAGTGTATTAGTAGTATATTGGGGTTTTTTGTTTTAGGAGAGAGAAAGGTAATTGATAAGAATGGTAATAGGTGTTAATCAGGGATAAAATTGTAATAGTTATCATTTAAGCCAAAAGCTAACCCAAAAAAGCTACTCTCACTAGCTTTTGGCGGAAAAGCTGGCTTTTTAGCCAACCAAAAAGCCAATTAACCAAACATAAATTTTGGCTGTTTGACCACTTCCAAAAGCAAAAAGCTATACAAAAAGCTACTTACCAAACAACCCCTTTATCATCAAAATTTTCAGATTCAAGGAAATTCATTTGTTAATTGGTCAATTATCCTAGCATAATCTATCATTTTGTTCAAACTATACTCGTTAATTTCCTCCGTTCACTCGTCCAGGTAATTTACCCATCAATTTTATTCCTTTTATAATTATGTAATTTAATTTTGTTATGAAACGTTGAAAATGTTGATTGTTAATTTGAACTTGTGAATTCTCTGCATTTTGCTTGCTGAAATTAGTACTTCCTTGCTTTTGAAAATCTGGTTGATTGTCATTCTTCATGTTTATATGTATTTATGATGATACTTTTCATTCTACTTCGTATAGTTTTTGTATTCTTATTATGCATTTTTTTCTACGCACAGGTGACTAGCTTGAGGAATCAAACGATGAATGAATGAAGTTAATGAACATTAGACCTGTTCAACAGGCCGAGATGGGCTTTATATGAAATGGGACGGGCCGAGCCAAGCCAAGCCTAATCCGAAAAGGGTCGCGCTTGTCCATGAGCCATTAAGCCCAGCCCGGCCCAGCCCATTCAAAATGTATAAACAAACTACAACAACCATGAAAACACAATATAAGAGAATTATAAAGGGCCTAGGGGCCTTATAAAGGGCCTTAGAAATAAAATTACAAAGAAAATATATTGATATTGTAAAACTCTGGAAAAGTACAGGATAAATCTCGGACAATAAAATTTGAAATCCAGCACATTGTATTATGAAAATAGTTCATATCACCTACTATAGTACTATGAGAGTTATAACTATGCAAATATGCTAATCCTTTTGCAGCTCCAAGGGCAATCCTCAGTCTTGCAGGCCTTTCCATGGTAGGTTGCCCTTTACTTGTAATTAGACCATTTAAAATTTCAGTTAAATCAATGCCAATCACTAATTATAAGCATAGGAGCCAAAATGAGTGTTATACTATGTTGGCGGTAAGTGCATTTAAAGAGAGACAATGCAGACACATATAAAAGCAGAAACTAAAGGCAGTAAGCTTACAATGAAGATGGAACTCCATGATATTGATTTATACCAAGAAAAACAGCAAGATTATAATAATAAGTAGAAAAATCAAAACAATTACCTAGTATAGGAAACTATCATCAACCTCATCATCATCATTTCCATCATCAACGGCCTCATCATCGTCCGAGCTAGAATCACGATCCAAATTTGAAGGGATGTTATATTCATCACGGCGCCAATCTTGAACACAAACTAGGGCTTGAACCGTTGAGGGTTTCAATGAGCTACGATCAGGAGATATAGTTTTCCCCCCTACACTAAAAGCCGACTCGGAAGCCACCATACTAATCGAAATCGTTTATCTCGTGCCAATATTGCAAGCTTCGGAAATCTCACTACATTTTGTTGCCAATACTCTTAGCTCCATGTTCAAATCAAGCTCCTGTTCCTTCAAATATGACTCAAGTTGGGACTTTTTTGTTTGAGTCCTTGTAATTCTTGAACTAAAGCTTTGATAATCATCAAAGAAGTTTTCATCTTCAATCCTACTACTTGTAGTAGAGGGAGCAACAATTGGGGAAGTTGAAAATGTTGACTTATACTCATTACACAAAGATCTTAAAGTGTTCAACACTTTTTCAACTTTATACATAGTCTCATCCGAACCATATATTATTAACCCACTGTTCCAATTAGCAAAACACTATCCAAGTCTTTATTTTTTTTTTTTTTTTGCTTAGCCTTGGAGTTGCAATGATACTAATTATGGAGTACATCGTAAATAAACCCATTGCTAGCCATAGCATCCATATGCTCGTATTTGGTGTACTGCAAATTATTTAAGCAAGCAAATTAAAAATGCCATAGCATCCACAAGCTCGTATTTGGTGTACTACAAATTATTTAAACAAGCAAATTAAAAATGTATGATACAAGAAGAATATAGTGAAGTAGGAAAAACAGAGAGGATGCTACGCAATAGTTGTACAATAATTTCATAGCACAACATTGAATCAAAAATAAACCCATAAAAGCCAAAACACCTAAAAAAAAATCTTTGCAATCAAAATCAGAAAACCTTATTTAATAAAACAAAAATCCAAGAATTTCACTTTGCTTCATCAACAAATTAGCAATCCACATCAATCTGCAAAGTAAATAACATAGAAATAACCCAAATTAGAGAAACAAAAACCCATTTAATACACAAAATATCATTACAGACCAAAATCCAAATTAGAGAAACAATTACCTTAGTAATTGAAGTGATATGACGGAATCCGAGATTGAGAGCGGCGAGCAAGAAGAAGGGTGATAATTGAAGATTGAGAGCAGTAGCAAGAAGATTGAAGTTAGGAATCTAGGAATTTTTTTTAGGGTTCATAATTTGTGGGAAATTGGGAATTTTTATTTTTAAGGTATCATAATTTGATGTTAGGAAGTTTTAGAAACAGAAAAATTAAAATAAAAAAAGCCTCATAAGAGTTACGCAATTTCAGCCCTTTTTAACTTAGACTTAACCCTTTGAAAGCCTATTATTTAATAACCCTTTAAAAGCCCGGTCCATTTAAATATTGATGGATAAAACCTTTTTATAAAAGGGATGGGTCAGAGCTTTAAATGGGCCCCTAACTCATTGAATAGGTCTAATGAACATAGATCTAGTTAAGATAATTTAAAGAAGAAAGTCTACTTAGACTTGAGCCATATTTGCAATACCACAAGGATTGTACTATTATTTTGGTTGGAAATGTAATTATGTCTAATTATTTGTGTTAATTATTGATTGAATAAAATTATACAAAAGGTTTCACGAATTACCAGGTTAAACAATATAAGGTTAAATTCTGGAAAAAAAAAAGTCAAATCAGGTCGGGTTCAGGTCAACCCGTATAAAACTAGGTCGGGTTCAGGTTGGGAAGTGTTGACCCATTTATGTAAATAGGTCAACCTGAACCCTACCCGACCCGACCTGTTTGCCAGCCCTAACAAATTACGTGTAACTACGTAAATATCATATTATACATAATAAACACATATAATTATGTGTATTAAAAAATTACTCAAAATTTACAGACAAACTAAGGGAAAATCGTATGCATTGGTTTGGACGTGTAAGACGGCGACCCGAGGGTGCACCGGTACGAAGAGTGGGACCACGGAGGGGTTAAACGAGGGAGAAAGAGACCGAAAATGACTTGGTTAGAAAGAGTTAGGAAGGGTATGAAGTATATGGATTTGCATGAGGATGAGGCATTGGATCGTAAGGGATGGAGGAGGAGGATCTTTGTCCCTAATTACACGGAATAATCAAATTTGGTTCATGTAGCCGACCCCACTTATGGGATTAAGGCTTTGATTGATTGATTGGCACCATGTATTAGGGGCGGAGCTACAAGCGAGGCTAGTAGGATCACGACCCCTGTAGCCTAGCCCCGCGGCCAATAATTTTTTTAATTTGTCCCCTGTAGATTTATTGTATATGTATTATTAAGTGAAGACTTGTATCACATAAATGGTCTTGCTTTAGTGGTAAAAAGGTAGGCATGATACCACACTTGGTCGCATGTTCGATTTCTTCTAACTCACTCACCTTGGCTTAAAGTAATATCCAACTATCAACGTTGTGTGTAAAATAATACGAACTTAACTATTTGCTATTAGCGGTACTACCTTTTGGACTATAAGTGCAAAATGGTAAGCTAGTCACTGATTAAGTATTTCGAGGAAAATTCTGTCTATATTTATTATTATTTTATTTATTTTTTATTAATTTTCTGTTTTCTTTTCAATATATATATTATGTAACAATTTCCTTTATAATCCAAATTAATACTGTCGCATCCCTTTGTTAGGCTTTTTTTTTTTGAATTGCCAATATGTATTTAGATATTTTTTTAAATACTTGTAGTAATTTATACTATCACACAATAGTAAATAGGGTATTTAAAAGCATTATTATGTTGATATAATAATTTTCAAAAAATGTTTTAAAAATCTAAAATTTTCCTACATTAACCAACCAAAATAATGTGGGGAAATTTTTGGATTTTAAAACAATTTTTGAAACTAATTATATCAAAATAATAATGCATTTAAATACCATATTTACTATTATGTGGTAGTAGAAATTATTACAGGTATTTTTTTAAAAAAAAAATATTTAAATACATATTGACAATAAAAAAAACAAAAAAAAATGCCTAACAAAGGGGTGGGGCATTATTAATTTGGATTTTACTGTAAGGGAAATTGTTAACATAATACTCCCTTTGTCCCAGAATACATGATACAGTCAACATTGCACACATGCCAATGCACTAGGTTAACTTTATTTTATATGATTAAATATTAATGAAAATTATTTTAAAAATTATATTATGAAACTTTATATTTTAATACCTATCTAATGTTAGTAAAAAATTATGGACAAAGCTAATGCATGAATAGTGAAAAATGTCCAACGTCTCATGTATCGTGGGACGGAAGGAGTATGTATTTTGAAAATAAAACAGAAAATTAATAACAAAAAAATAACAATAAATATAGACTCAATATTCCTTGCAATTCTTTTCCGATGACAGACGTACTATTTTACACATATAGTACAAAAGGTGGTACCGCTAATTGCAAATAATTGAGTTCGTATTATTTTGCACACATCGTTGATAATTAGTATTATTTTAAGCCGATTTTCCTTTTATTAATTGATGATCATCATGATTTTCCATGTGCATGATGTTTGACATACATTTAACAAAAATGTACTTTCTAAGATCTAATTTCCATTATTGCTAGTTTATGTTTCTACTTATTTTTGTTAATTGTTAATGATTTAGAGTAGAGTTTGCCTTTATATGTTGTTGTGACATACATTCAAAAAAACACGTAACTTTCTAAAATTTAAATGTTACATATTGCTAGTTTATGTTTCTCCTTATTTTTATTAATTGTTATTGATTTAGAGTAGTTAATAACTTTTACTGCCAAGTACTTCGTATTTGTCTTGTGATTTATTTTAGTGTTAAGGTAAAATGATGAATTTTGAATTTTTGTATAGAAAAAAAATTTATTGTCAATGCTAACACGAAAGACATTTTTGCCCTCGAAAACAATAGTCTTGGCCCCACTAACTTTTAAATCCGGACTACGCCCTTGCCATGTATGAATACCTCACACTAAATTAATGATACACTGACTTCATTTTCTACAATCTACTTTCTTCTTCTTTCTCCCTCTATTTCTTTCTCTAAATTTGGTTTTGTACATGGTATCAGATTGCCAAAGAATTTAAACAAGTTAGATTGCTAAAGAAATGAGTAGATAAACATATGACAAAATATGTAAATGTTTTCCATTAATTCAAAGATAAAATCAGGGCTACAATTGTACAAGTTGAAGGAGAGGTTACCTCCATGTTCATGCAATTGGAAGGGACAATTGATCTTCAATACATGCTAAGAACTAAACTAAACTATCGCTTGACTACTAAGCCAAGAGAAATCTAAGGAAGCTAAGAAGAAAGCTTAAAGAAAATGAAATGATTTTGTCGATTGATTTGCTCCTCTTGTTCTCTTTCTCATCCACATCTATTTATAGACAAAATTAGTACGGTTTTACCTTAGAAACTCCAATAACGTAACCACTAGACGATTACAACTCTTGGCGCCAATCCTTTTTAAATTAAAATGCCTTGTTTGCTTTATATATGACCGGTCATGTTCTTCTCTTTGATAATAAGGCTTATGGTAGTCATTTTTCAAAAGGCGGCTATTGCAAAATTTTCAATTGCAAAGTCTAGCACAAACATACATATATGTACACCGACCCCTCGGCAAGAACAACAAAATGCAACACACATGGCTACATCGATAAAAAAATTAAAATATTGTGGAATCCTCTTAATCTTATTTTGTCTTGGTAGATATAGTAGGCTTGTCATTACTCTCATGCAGGTCTATTCACAAAACTATCACAAAGAGACATGTCAATTGAGTCGGTTGGGTTAGGTCACGAGTCATTTCGGGTTGGATCACTTTCGGTCACGGGTTGAGAAATGTTCAACCTAACCCAAAGTTTCGGGGTCGGGTCAACCCAAATAATTATTTATAGAATTTATTGAGGGGAATTGAATATTGATAGCGGTGATGGGGCTACAATGTCGTCGCCACAACAATCGGGCCATGTGCAATTTCTTAAAATGGGGCCCTCGTTTAATACTCCTCTGCTTTTGTAATTTTAGGATTTTTTGTCAACAACTACCTTTTAAGTTACCACTTTTGCGAATAACTACCTTTTATTTTAGAATTTGTGAATAACTACCTTATATTGAGTTTTTATTTTGGTACCACTACCAGTTAACGTATTCCGTCAGAATTTGGGTGTGAATTAGGCAAATCAAAAATGAAAGATTCATGATCTTCATTGTAATTAAGGTTTCGAATTCTCTAAATTTTGGCAAAAATTCAATTTTTGGTGAGAGTTTAATGGTTTTGCTAAATATTAGGGTTGGCATTCAAGGTAAATTATAAACTTCATGTGTTTGAGTTAAATTAACAAAATTTAGCATTAATATGGGGTTTAAATTAACTAGATATAGCATTAAGGTGCTTACAATAGGTTTTAATGGGGTCTAGTCTATGTAATTAGTGTTAATTTTGTTTGAAATCGTTGAATGGGGTCTCACTAACGGAAACTTTGACGGAATCCGTCAAATTGTAGTGGTACCAAAACAAAAACTCAACATAAGGTAGTTGTTCGCAAACTTTAAAGTAAAAGGTAGTTGTTTGCAAAAATGGTAATTAAAAGGTGTATACGTTGACAAATTTTTTGTGATTTTATAATATGTGTTGTTAAGCATGAATTTCAACATTGTGATTAAAAAATAACATGAGAGTATGTGAATTAAATAACAAATTTTTATTAAACAAAAACTTTGTTACATTATAAAAATTAAAGATTTAAGTGTTGATTTTGGAAATAAATTAGATGACAATGGTAAATGAAATTTATTTTGGGGGATTAAAAAAAAAAATGCTATACCCCTTATGATTACATATAAGCATTAAATACACACTAGAAAATCGTATCAAGTTAGGAAATCATAAAAATATAAACACTAATGACAGTAATTTACGTGTGTTTTTGTAATGAATTCCTAATTTTATACTCCCTGCGTACCCAAAAGTTTGACCCTTATGGCCAAATTTTAGTCCAAAAATGATAATCCCATTTGCATTAAAATACCCACCAATTTGCAACAATATTTATTTAACTTTCTTAATACCTGCGAAATCAGCTCAAAAAGGAGTACAATTTTGAAAAGTGTATTTAATGTATATATATACCCTTTAGGGTTACTTATAGCATCATCCAAAAAAAATTGGAAATTAATTTGATGTTAATGAAATATGCGAAAATTGAGGCAGAAAAATGGAATAAAAGAGCAGTTTTGGTCCCACGTTTAATGGATGGCTAGCTGTCATGCTTAAAAAAAAGTGTAGTTACTAGTTAGTAAAGAGTTGAACTCAAGACCTCATTGTAATACACCAAACTCTTCATCAATGCTCCAATTTCATTTTCTTGTAACTCAATGAAACTATTTAAGATATATACTAAATTCGGGGCCCCTAAAATTTGGGGGAGTGTTTAACATTTTTGTTTAGCCCCATGTTTGCATGAAGACCATAAACTCTTAATCCAACTTTTCCACTGCCCTGCGGCAGTTGCAGAATGCAGATTGATATTGCTTAAATTAGAACCTGAGGAGGTTTTTCCCACCGATCAAATGCTATGATGTTTATTTCCTTTCATTGGAGATAATTGATTTCACTACTCTGAGGATGATATGGATGCTACAGTCACCTGATTGAGATGGGGCCTTCATATATTCCTTTCTTTCTTGTTGCATGTAATTATGCTGCTGAGAGTAGACAATTATGCTACATAATGACTCTAACTCTCTCAAGTACTTGAAATTATGTGCATCTTGCAATTTGAAGTGTTAGAGATAAAAAAAATACCCCTTTGTCTGAAAATCTGAATTCTTTGGAATCAACACTCACATTTACTATTTTGAGATGTTCGGAAAAAATGTGCATCGGTGAATCCCTAATTATAGGGGGGTTTGGACAGTGTGAATACTTATTTTTGGCAGAGGGGATAGTTTTGTTAATGCAAGCAGTTGTGCCTTGTAGTTGCTGACAAAGAGCGGTGCCCAGTTAATCTTTTTTATTGATTTTGCCAGGTTGATTTTGGTCAGGTAATTTTTTAATTTTTTATTTTGATTTTTAAATGCTGTTTTAGTTTGCATTTTTTTGGGTATATCTAATTTTAATTAGTAATGTGTAGTTTCTATGAAAATTTGGTGTTTAGATTGATAAATTTGTTGAATTGTGGATTTTTTTTATGTATTTCTGTTGCTAACTATTTGAATTTTGGATGAGTTTAATACATGGGCATTTCTTGTTTTTGATTTCTTTCTGTTTAAAGTGTGCTGCATTAGATTGCATTATGTAGTGGCTATTACAAGTATTATTTAGGCTCTTTTCGTATTGATAGGGAAAGAAAGCTAGGGGACAGCCTGAATCATCCTTTCGGGTGAAGCACAGGCACTCAGAAACAATGAGAACGAAACCCGGGAATATGATGGAAACTACACTTTGTTTAGAGTTATAATGATTGTACACTAGTGATCATTTGGGTGACCATACAAATAATCAGCTCTATGTTGGGAATCTGATACCCTAATGTTTGGATGATATTGATATATTTTAAAAAGGATTCGAACTTTTGGCGCATTTCTGGTTTTCCGGGTTCTTGTCCTTTTGATCAGCGTATCTTCTCTACCGTCTTTTTCAATGGTAATTCATTGATTATTTTTACTGCTTTCTTTGCGTTTCGATTTATTTGATAGTAGTTGGACTTGTAGAAAATGCTACTTTACTTGATGTCTTTGTGCACATTTGGTCGATATATTGGAATGTGATTGTTGATGATTGTTATTTGTCGAAACTATTTTTTCACTTGGTTCATGTGTATTTTCATTTTTATCTGAATTCAGAACTTGAAATGTCGTTTAATGTGGGCCGGTGAAGAGAGGGAAAAGGAATACCATTTGTGTCAAGATATTCTTTTATTGCGGAGAAATTACAAGGTGTTTCCTAGGAATGTATTGGGGCATACTTACAAAACCAGATATAAGCATCCTCCTGAATGATTACATCTTATCTAAAAAAGTTTCTGATATAATTCAAATTTCCAGTTTCAAAGTGTTAAGATCACCCGTCAAAAAAAAAAAAAAAAAAAAAAAAAAAAAAAAAAAAAAAAAAAAAAAAAAAGAAAGTGGAATGCATCGAGTCAATTAGTCAAACACGTTTTTGTTCATCTAAGGTACGTTGTAATGATAATGTTGCCTGTTTAATGCATACCTGCATTATCCATCAGCAAGACAGCTCCAATTTTTCGAACCAAACTATGACAACTGAATCTGTTTGGTTTATCTACTATCTACGCTCATATATTTATTCCATGCACATATTTGTTTATTCACCATTATCTAAGGTTCTCTCATGCTGTGGTACAATAGAAGATTCAAACCACGAACCAAACCAAGGAGACCAGAAAAACTTTAAATAATAAGCCTTAATGATGAGAGATTCCGCTTGATTGAAATCTTCTTCAAACATGAACCTCATAATAACATGTCCTTCTGTCCCAGAGCATATGTAATTTATGTAATATACTCCGTAAGATTGCATTATTCGGCTTCTAAATTTTAATGGTGGAGAGAATTGGATTCTTCTCGCTAATGATTATAACAAATACCCGCGACCAAGTTACTAAAATTACTTTTTCCTTCTAAATTTTCCATCTAGTTACTTACCATTTTTCCCATTTATATAAAGGTGAATCATATGGAGCAGCCATATGGCAGATTCCTGAATTGTATGGCCAGTTAAATTCGCCTCAGTTGGAAAGGATTGCTGCTCTTGATGCACACAGTAGTAAAATTAAATGGTGAGCTTTCAGTTATACATTTTTGGAGAATGTTCTGATTTGTTTGCTTCGTACTCAGTCAGGGATCTTAGTCATCATGTTGACTTTACTTTTTTAGTTACCATTTTTACATTACATGTGAATTTTGGTGCTGAGACTTATCTGATCCTTTCCTTCTACTCTGTACATGGGTGATCCCTTTTAAATTTTAGCTATGCTATCACCTCCAAGTGTAACTTTATGATTCTCTGTCTGTCATTAAAGATTAGTTATCGAGTTGAAGAAAGGAAAGATGAAATAAGAATTTGAGAAAGTAGGAACTATGCCATTTACTGATGCATAAAAGATGCTCATGCCATTGCTTTCTCATTTAAGAATATTAGGATTTTCTCTCAGGTTTGGAGATTTATGGCTAAGTTTTGGAATTCGGAGTGTTAGAGACTGACTGATAGGTTAATGTTAGGCTGAAGCGCAAACGATTGGCATTGGTTATTGTATTAAGAAGTATTGAGGGGGAGTTTAGAACAAGCAGTATTCAATATCCATTACTCTCTTGCATTTGACAATCAGCCCATTTACTTCAAGCACAAGAGGAGACTGGTCTCCTTGTTTTGTGTGGTGCTCTGCTATCTGGATTGGATCCTTCAATTGCTTGTTTCCCCTTCTTTCTGTTTCTGATCAGGTCCTTAATTTTTACTGTAAAATTTTCCCGGATTTTGTTAGACATTATACTTATACTGTCTGGCATGTGGCCGTCTGCAGTAGTTTGCTGACTAATCAAAAACATTTACTTATCAGTTTTTGCATTCTTGAATGTTATAGTTACTTAATGTGTCTATTCTGCAGTGTTCTTTGGTGGCCTATAGGAAGGCATGATAAATTAATTAGCATTGATGAGCAGAATCTGTTCTTGTGGAGTTTGGATTCTTCAAAGAAGACCGCTCAGGTATTTGGATCCTCTCTCAGTGAAATTCGGTTTCATGAAAAAACTTTGGGTCCCTAAAATTGGAGATGTATATGTTTATGAAAAAGCTAAGCCCACAATGGCCCCTTCCCACTTTGATGGACATGATTAATAGGAGAGGAGAGAAGGGTATATATTGTTTTCACTTTGTGGGTCCTATTTTCTGAGGTAAAGGTCGTGGACTGGAAATTTTGAAATATGAAATTCTTACTTCTTTTGGTCTCTCAACTTAGTTATTTAGAAATTGAGGTAATTTGCAATGAAAAATAGTTGAGAAGTATAAAGTTGTGATGTAGTATTTGCAACAAGCATAAATCTAGAATGTCCTTGATATAATTTTTGTATGCCCTACTTCATAATTGAGCTGTACCTGTATATAACAGAAAGATTGTGGCAGTTTCCCATTTCCTCTGAGCTTCGTCTTACATTGCCTGGAGAAGTGACTTAGCTACTTGTGTTGAATTTTTTAAAAGCTGAGCTCTTCAGATTTTAGGACTTTTATAATTCGTCTGTTTGAGGTGTGAAAGTGCTCCTGCTTCCTACAGCATTTGCTGATGTTTCTTTAAATTGTCCTTGGTGCAAATTTATTTCTATCAGCTTACAATTGTAAGATAATACTAAACCACCTTCCTCTATGCTTTTCTATTATGGACATATGGTCTAATATTACTTTTATCATTTGTAATAAACTTTTCTAAGTGTTTCACTAATCTTCCCAATATGCACTAATTATGATGAAGCCTAAAAATGATCAAAGAATGGACAAAATAGGAGTAAGTGGTGAATATGGAGAGCTGGTCTATTTATCAAGACCATGAACTAGCCTAATGATAAAGGACCTTAAACGAGTTACCAGTTTAATGAAAGATGTCTCTTTCTAAGCTTGAGATAATTAATCCATATTTATTCACTTGGTGACGGGTTCACAACTATAAATGCATAAAAACAACCATTTTGGGGCAAAGTATCCTCCATATTTGTTTGTTCCAGTGCACAGCAATATAATGCTCTGCAGAACTTCTGTTCCTGCATAAGCCTGCAAAACAACCATGAAAACAGCTTGATCTGAGGTCTTGAACTAATTCTTTTGATGAGTGAAGCTTTTAGGTTTCAGAGTAGTTTACTTACCTGAGTACCTATGCCAGCAATAAGACCTATAGTCTCAAACCATGCACAGCACCAAGACGCAAACGGCCCCTATTTTGGCCCTGCTAAATTTGCAGCCCAAAAGTAAAGAGAGCCTGTTAGTTGTCTGTTTGATTGATAATCACGAGATTGTTAGTCTTTGTAACTCAAGGACAGTGCATGAAAACTCAAAAAGATATGAAATACTACGTATAAATATCCTAATACTTCACAACTGTGTTTATGAGCAGTATATCTTGTTACCTTCATGGATTTACTTAAAGAAGGGGCAATAAAAGGACAATAGAACACAAAATCTTCCAGTTAATTATTTTGTCTAACTGAACTTGTCTCAGCTCTCAATTTTGTTTGTAACAGGACAGATTCTAGGCACAAATTCAATGTCCTAAACAAATTCTAAATTATAACAGTGAGTGACATCAATCAGCCCTTGGTTCATAATCCAAAAATAGAACTACTTAACAGGATACCACACCATAATTATGATATTATGATCTTTGAAACTGAGTCCAAGGGTTTCTGAAACAGTTTAAGAAGAAAACATTTTCTTAGAAAGTCAAAGTAGTCTAAGATATTCAAATCTTTGTTAAAAAAACAAATTCAAGAAAATTCATTAATTTTCTAATAAGAACACGGCCTTGCTCTTACTCCTAACTCAGTTGAGATTTGTATTTAAATTGTATATGAAGATAAAACTGTTACATACTATATTACTCAGACTCGGCCACTCGGGTACAAGTACTGGACACAGATATTTGTCCGAGTGTTTGTTTCAACTCTATTATGAAAATTATAATTTAGGTCCAAAATGATGTAGGCATCCTATATTTCTATGGTTCTGCTTTTAGTCAAAAGGGGTTCCAAACTTGGTCATTACTTCATTCCACTTCTTGAGTTTTCCCACTATGTTTTCTCAGTCAGCAACTATAGCTATCAGGGACTATATCCAATCCATTCTGGTATCTAAATGACTTTTCAAATTTTGCAACATTGTTTGTCTTCAGCATCATATCATCCTTAAATTTTCCTCCACTTATATATTAAATAGTTACTTCACATATAAAGAAAATCCTTATCTGTCACTTTTTCTCTAGGTGATCAAATCTTATTAACACATATGTGTCTGATTCCCCGAACAGATATAAAATTTGAGTAACTTTAGAGCATAACTTTGACCTACTTTTTTTTTTTTTTTTTTAACTATAACTTTGACCTACATTTAGTACAACAAATGCTGCAATTACTTGTATAAATCTGCTTGTATTGTCTATGTCTTTATAGTATTTACCCTTATTTGCTCCTTTTCCCAAATAAACAATGTTATCACGTTTTCTCTGATAAATTTAATTCTTTAGGATCATTGTAAATAGGATTACCACTATGTGCTAGGTGGAATAAAAAACTACTCAGTGACCTTGACAACCCCTTCACACATGGCATCCATTTTGGATAATTGTTGATTTGTTGTAAAAATTGAAAATGCACAAGGGGAAAGAAAATGCTTGTGAGTTTGACATATTTACGGTTACAGAGGCTGCAAAAGCCAAAAGGTTAATGAGTCTACCATACCCGTATCTTTGTCTGCATTGGGCTTCATTTTTGCTAATCAATTCGTATTTATGTCTTTATAATGTGGTATATCTCAAGCAAATGTGCCTGCTTTCAATTCAACATCATCTGATTCTTTATTTGAATGTTCCTGTGTGTTCTAGGTACAGTCACAGGAATCAGGTGGTGTGCTTCATTACCTAGCTGGTGGAGCATGGGATCCTCATGATGTGAATTCTGTTACATTAACTAGTGAATCAGCAATCCAGCTCTGGGATTTACGGACAATGAAGTATGTTATGATACTTACTCTCACCGTTGATATTTTCTCCCCTTTGTCATATGTTTGTCTCGAAATTAGAACAGGTAGTACATGGACACTTGTTTTGGACTGGAGTGAGTAAATACCTTCCAGCAGACAATACTGAAGCCTGAAGGATTCATTTTTCGGGATTATTTGATACTGATTTGTTTACTTGTATATGTGTAATTCTCTCCATTAAGTCAATTATTTGATCCCTTTATTGTTTTAATTGTGGCATCTAACACTTCTTGATAGTTATAATGTTGAGCCTTTGGATTGGACATATAATGACCTGATATATGGAGGGATTTTGCATTAAAATTGAGTGGTTTTGCGAAGTTAAATTTGTTTGTTAAGTAACGTCCTGGTTTTGTACTTAATTTGCAAGCATTTCTTATGATCAGTATTAATTTGTGAAAATTTAATGATGATTTATAATTTTCATCATTGTTATGAGATGGATATCTGTTATATGTATGTTTGAATGCCTTAAGATTTCAGATTAGTGGTAAGTTGTGCGAATCTGTGTATACAAATTGATCTGCTGACAAGCTAACTTTTGCTCTGATAAATTGAATTTGATCAGCTGAGATTTGGATAGTTCCCAAGACCATTGTTCGAGTATTTCTTGCATTTTTTTTATTTGGACTTCATGGTTGTGCATGAGATGTCATTTGAGTGCGAAGATGTAGTCTAAACGCTTGAACATCTTTTTTGGATTTCGATGCTTGAATAGTTGATATTAGTCTGGTGAGTGGATTATTAATTGTAGGTCCTTTTAGATTTAGGAATTTGAGTGGTGGCTTGGTGACATAGGAGGAGCTTACACCTCTCAAGATATTGCAATAATTAGTGAGCTGTTTAGTTGGCAGCGGGATTTATTTACCTAGAATGAAGGACTAGTTAACCAACCTCCCCAATTTTGTGGAGAAGTTAGAACTTTTCTTGATCTTTTCTTGATGTGTCTTTGTTAACCAAACACATACGCCTTAGGAAGCTGGATCTCCTGTAGAATTATTGTAAACCAAACGACCTCTTTGTTCTCTGATATTGTATGATGGATTCTCAGTTTAAAATGTTCCAATACTAGTATTAAGTTCCATTCCTTTTTTGGCTTTTCCCACCCCAAAATAAAATAAAGTTTGCAGATCTAAAAAGGATGTTATTTTTCATGTCATCTTGGATTGTAACATGAAATCTGCCACTCATTGTGTTCTTAACTGTTGTTTTAAGGCAAGGAACCTCCTAGAGCCAGGTTTTGTTGCATCTGCGGAAGACTTGCAATCGCAGCATGATGAGCGAGATGCTACTGCTTAAGGTCACCCATCTACATTCCAACAGCCTGAAGTTATCATGAATGATTTAAGTGAGCAGGCTTGTGCTACTCAAGAGCAAGGTAATCCAAGCAGCGAGCTCTTTTATTATGTCACACTTTTCTCTTTTCGTTCTGTGACTTGCAATTCTGAAATGCCATTGTTGTTTAATCAGGAGAGAAGTGAATGTATGTTTGGAAAGACTCTTCAAAGTCTTTGTCAAGGAAGGTAATGTTCTACTGGTTACAGGGATCAGTTTCAGAAGGTACAAACCGATCTCCAATACATGAAAAGCTTCTTCAAGGACGCAGAGAGGCTCAAAAGGAAAAACGAGGTTCTGAAATGCACTCTAGCTGATTTGCAAGAGCTTGTCTATGAAGTTGAAGAAATACTTGCAGATCGCCAGCTTTTGTCAGATAGCTCAGGAAAACTTCTTTATGGATTTTCCCCTATAAAGGTTCCATCCAAATACCAAATGGGAAAGAGGCTGGGGGAAATTAGTGAAAATATTACTAGCATCAGAAATAATCTCATCTTTTTTTGCGCCGCTTTCTCAGTCTCTACATGGTAATGCACAAGAAGATGGACCACTGAGATGGAGTTCTCCCATCTATGATCATACTCATATAGTTGGATTAGAAGGCGATACAAGAAAGCTCAAAGATTGGTTATTTCAGGTCGATAACAGTAGCATACTATCCATTGAAGCTGTATTCCCTTTAAAAACGTTTCAACATAAGTGACGTTTTAACATGCTATCAAACAGAGCAACCAAAATTCCCAATTTGCCCTATGATGCACTTCTGGTAGGATATGTAATTCATCACTATATAAGTTTATTAAGGTACCAGCCATGACAATATTATATAACTCTTATCATTCCTGACCATGCCTCAAAAAATCCAACACTGTAGTACATTTAGGCGTAACACTTGAGCAAGATACACCAGGCTTCAGAATACACATCTTACTCAACAAAGGACACATGGTGATGGTGGGCAAGCAAACTATATAAAATTCACAATTGTTATCTAAGCATTTCCAATGATCAACACTAAGAATAAACCGTCAGAAAAATCTTTCAATTGACAATAGTTGAGCCAACAAGCTAGGATGCTACCATTATGAAGGCCCTGTAAAGTGTAAACTCAAAGAAAACCAGACAAAACCAAGTGCATGGAGTTAAAACTGCATTTTTTAATATAAATATAATAACATAATAGCTCAGAGTAAGGCAAACGCCACAAGAGTTCATAGATAATACTGAGACCACTCTCAATGGTGAGCAAAAAAAATGCTCACCCACTCTCTCTCTACCCACTTTCTCTCTCAACAAATCAGTTTTGCTCATGGACAAATTTTTTTCACATTTTCTCTCCCAATGGTGAGCAAAAAAAATGCCCACCCACCACTCTCTCTCTCTTACTTTTTCAATACCCCACCATTACTTTCTCTCTCCTACAAAACACTTCTTTATTTATTTATTTCATTTATATTTTAACAATGTTACTCCAAATAAATAAAAACTAGTTAAAATTTGTGTAACTTATTTTTTTTATTTTTGTCTTTTTTATCGTTAAAATTTGTCGTAAAATTAAGTACGTTATATAAAAAAATTGTAAAAAAAAGCTCAAAATTTGTTAAATGTTTTTATTTATTTTAAAAGCGGTACAATACTAGAAACCAATTACATTTGCAACGTCATGCGTAATTAATTGCGTCGGAAATAAAATAAACACAACAACTAAAAAATAACTCGACTGCGTATGGAAAAGTAGCTACGCCGTAGTACTTGGCTTTATTTAAGTCGTGTTAATTTCTCCCTAATTACGTGGCCCGTATCGTTGCCAAATATGTTCGACTAAATCACGTTTTAGAGATAGATGAATTTCTCTGTCACGGAGGGAAGCTTTTCGCTGTAGAAATGCGTTGAAATCAAAGTTGGTAGGTTGGCCTACGTTGAATTCAAACGGTGGCGTTGTAGATGTTGATGCTGGTGTTGATTCTTGTTGATCTTCTTCATAGAAGGCTCTTAGAACTTCGGCTCGAGTGTAGTTGTGACGCTCATCTTCAACAATCATGTTGTGCATAATGATGCATGCTTTCATTATGTCCCGCAGTATGTCCTCATCGTACGCCAGCGACGGTTTTCGTATAATTGCAAATCGAGCTTGCAAAACACCGAAAGCTCTTCCAACGTCCTTTCGAGCGGCAGCCTGGTGGTCAGCGAACATTTTATCTTTGGCAAGTTGAGGGAATGTGATACCCTGAACAAAAGTTGCCCACTTCGGATAAATGCTGTCGGCTAAGTAATAAGCCATGTTGTATTCATGGCCGTTAACCGTAAAATTTACCGGAGGAGCTCGACCATGCAGAACCTCATCGAACACTGGTGAACAATACAACACATTAAGATCATTACAAGATCCGGGAATACCAAAGAAGGAATGCCATATCCATAAATCCTGATCCGCAACGGCTTCCAGTATTAGCGTTGCTTTCTTGTTCCTACTGGCGTACTGCGCTTTCCAAGCTGTTGGACAGTTCTTCCATTCCCAATGCATGCAATCAATGCTGCCTATCATGCCTGGAAAACCATGCAGTTCATTTTGATGCAGTATCCAGGCCAATTCATCAGTTGTAGGGTTTCGCATGTACTCGGTTCCGAACTGGTCAATGACCCCGGCACAAAAACGTTGTAGGGAAACTCGAGCGGTTGACTGACTGATTCGAACGTATTCATCAACAACGTCTGCAGCCATGCCATAGGCTAACATTCGTATCGTGGCTGTACATTTTTGCAGAGGTGATAAGCCTAACTTTCCAGTTGCATCCCTACGCTGCTGGAAGTAAACATCACCTTCAACGACCTTGTTCATTATACGTAAAAACAAAGGTCATTGCATACGAAATCTTCTTCTAAATTGGGTGGTGTTGTACACAGGATTATCGGAAAAATAATCATTAAACAGCCTGGCATGTCCCATTTCCCTATCTCTTCTGTTCGTACCCCCTCTACGTGTTTTTTAAGTACGTTGGGATTGTGTTTGGGGCATGAGGAAAGATGGGGGTTGGTATGTGAAGAGTTCATCAACGAGTTGATCATATTCTTCATTATTGGAAGAAGATGAACTTGAACTTGAACTTGATGATGGTCTGGAATACATCATGTATTAATATTGTAATTTTCTGAATTGGTGTGGTTGTGGATATGTGCCATGCCTACTATATATAGCAAATAAATCAAATGAATATGTGGTTACAAATCTGAATGACCACACCAACTAAAGCAATCAAATTTTCAGCCACAGAATAGGTATACTATGCTAGTTGACAATGACAAATCTTGACAAAGTGAATTCAGAAAAATGTGACTAAACCATGACAAAGACTTATTGCAATTATGTCGGTATGAATGACCTAAAGTTAAAGCATACTGACAAAGTGAATTCAGAAACATGTGACCACACAATGACAAAAATGTGACTACTCAATGATAAAGAGTTATTGCAATTATGTTGCTATGAATGACCCGAAGTTAAAGTGAAATCAGAAAAAAAGTTTACATATTGGAAAAAGTTTACAATGACAACTGAAATCAACTTGTTAAACAACTTGTCATTCAATATTGGAAAATCAGAATACAAGTTTACATATGACATTGAAATTAAACACACCACTAATACAAGTTAAACATAAAAGACTACATTGCGCATAATTAAAAACTTAACTAATAAAAGCGTACACCTACTACAACCAAACATGCTTAAAAGCCCTGTAATTTACCCAGTAAAAAATTCTTGTACGACTCTTCTTCAGGAGTGAGTGGCGTAGGCGAATTCTTCATAGCTTGCACCATATCAAACCAGGTTTTCATCTTATGAATGTCAAGTTCCTCCCTTTTCCTCTGTTCCTTGTCCCTTTCAATTTTGATCCGCTCTTCCTTCAGAATGGCCTCCCTCTCGCGAATTGTTGCGAATTCCTTCATTCGTTCGCTAAGCTCAGACGAACCACTGTCTGAAGCTACTTCTTTCCCTTTACGCTTGGCCTTTGCTTTCTTCACACCTTTAGGTCGTTGTATTCCTCCAGATGAAAAACCATCCGTAGGGGTTTCATCCCCTCCATCATCTCTGGACCTCTTCCCACTTCCAGCACTACCTTGCTCCTCAACATCACAAACAACTTTTCTTTCCTTCTTTGACAAGGACCATCTCAGCTTTGGCCTCCACTTTGGATCTTTATTAAGCATTTCAACCGTGTGAGGAAAGCGAAATTGCGACCTTGGGCGAGATGAAAAAGCTTCGACGCACTTTTTATACGGTCAGTTTCGTTGTAACCACTCCCTCCCTCCGGAAGTCTACCCGCTTCATCATAGCAAGATATCCATTGTAGTGTGTCTGCTGCCAACCTTCTCCAGTGCGATGTCAGACTCTTCATAGGTCTTGGCGGAAGTATATGCGGCTTCTCCGCATGAGCCATTTGATATGCTGCGTGTACATCGCGCCAAAGGGAAGTTGCTTTCTGGCTCGTACCTTTAATAGCATTCTCACTGATCTGCAAGTACAGCCCAATCAGAGCTTCATCTTCCGCAACAGACCAAATTCGAGTCGCTCGTGCAGCAACCTCGTTGAATTTTAGTGTGGGAACTGGTGGAGGATACTGCGGCGTCTCTAGTACGCTTTCCTCTTCGCTCTCATCGAATTGTGTGTTGCTATCATGTTCAGTTTCAGGTGTACGATCTTCATTAGCATGGTTTCGTAGGGGAAACTGAGTGGGTGTCTGATATTGTGGAGGTGGTTGCAAAGACGTATTGCCCATTCTTTGCAAGAACAATTGAAACTCGGGATTAGTAAGGAAATCATCACTAAAACCCGAAAATTGTTGTCAGAAATTTGGGTTGTTTGGATCCATTAAAAGATTCTGCATCAAAAAACAAAATATAAATATTTTTACAAATTAAAATGACAACAAATCCAAAAAAATATCAACAACTTTCTTCAATTACATAATGCAATTACATTACATGTCCATCAATATTATTTTTAAGTAAAAAAATCACACATATAATAATTATAATACATAACTAAATTTATATATTATTAGAAAAAAAAAATAAACTAATAATTGCAACACTTTATTAACTACAAATTTAGTAATGTATGGAGAAAATATCAACAACTTTGTTAAATTACATAACGCAATTACATTATATGGCCTACAATTTTTTTTTTCTCAAATCACACATATAATAATTATAATACATAACTAAATGTATATATTATTAGAAAAAAAAATTAACCAATAATTGAAACACTTTATTAACTACAAATTTAGTAATTTATGGAGAACATATCAACAACTTTCTTCAATTACATAATGCACTTACATTACAATATTTTTTTTTCCAAAAAATCACATATATACTAATTTTATAACATAACTGAATTTATATATTAAAAAAAAAAAAATTACCTGAATATGGGTGAATTGCAACAAAAATATTCTTCTACAAATTAATAATACTTAAGAAAAAAAAATGTGGAGGATTTAAAGTGTTTACGAAATTATATCAAAATATATCAAAATGCATGTCTATTTATAGAGAATTAAATTTTATGACCGTTGGTAATTTTTTTTTTTTTAACAAATATATTTTTCGGAAAATCAGTTAGAAATAATATTACCGTTGTAAACGGCTAGTATTTTCTCATTGGTTAATCTCCTGCGCAAGACACGTGGCGCACTCTTATTCGGCAACCAATCTGACGCGCCTCTGCCAGCAATTTCTTTTTTTTTTTTTTTTTTTTTCTCAGCGTCAAAACGACGCGTTTTGGAAGCGTCCCTTCAGACCACTCCATCACAACGCGTCGTTTTGATAAGGGCCCAGCCAAATTTTTTTAATTGCGTCTGACCTGCTGTGGGGCCTACTTCCTTCACTGTTCATACACGAAAATGCTCACGCTATGGGCAAATTTCATTTTGCCCATGGGATTTTTTTGGCTTGATCAAATTTTCTCACCATCTACAATGGTGAGCATTTCATTTTCCCATCAAATATGCCCATGAGCAAATAAAATTCTCACCAATGGCAATGCTCTGAACAATAATATAATATCACTTGGGAAACCGTTACTCTAAGAAGAGTAAGGCAAAGACCAAAAGAGTTCCTAAGTAATACATTAACATAACATCACTAGCAAAATCTCTACTCTAAGATTAATGACTAAAAGAGTTCCTAAATAATACGATAATTATCACTTAATCTCACACTAATCGACCTCAATACGAAGAAGATAACTGTTTGTCTCTACAATCTTGAAACCTTCACCAATTTCAATTTTTGTTACACATGAAAAGTTTTCATCAGATTTGCCAAATAATATATCTACGTTGACAATAAGAGAGGCATATGATGGATTAACAATCATAGATCTTGAAAGTGGTATTCTCGAATCATCACTCACTTGAATTAGATCATCCTTAATCTTCTCGAATAACACAATCCGGTAGTAGTCTTTGTTAAAGCGCGATGTATAGTCATAGCAACTATATTAAGCAATAAGGCTACCCCAAATCTTAGAACAAACATCATCACATCCTGTTTCAGGATTTAGAAACACCTTAATGTTTGCACCAACAGCTTCTTCTGAGAAGATTGAATAGTGTATTGCTGCAAATCCTCCATGTTGACCCAGAATAAGAGAACACAATTGCTTTTCATACCACAAAGAAGTGTCAAGTACAAAAACTGCCCAATCCACTAAGCCTCGAATAGCTAAACGGTCTTCAATATCCTTTATGCTAAACTTCATTTGTAATGAACTACAATCATCAAAAACTCTGGAACCATCTGATACAGGTAATGATTTCTCATTTTCAGATAATACCAATGCATCTTTTTCATCTCTGTTAAAGATATAACAAATCATGTCATCATCATCCGATAAAACCTCAATTGAGCCATAAATTTGAACTGTCTTTTGCCTTCCTCGACCAAAAAAGATAGAGAATATCTCCAAGGCAGGAGATGCCCATGGCTTACTCTGATGAGCACGAAGATTCCTGACCAAAATTTCAAGCAAAATCCAAGGAAAAAATTCATTCCGTATTCAAATAACATATTAAATAATTGTTGAATTGACTACCTTAATATTTTGACGATTGACTTACATAAAACAAACTCTGACTAATGATGTTTATAAGTCTTGGTTGAACAGAAAGATTCAGGTACAAAACTACATGTTCCGGAGTAGGAACAAAAGAGTTTGGAAGACTTGACGTTATGTGCAAGCTTTCAAGATATCCTCACAAGCTCCAAATACTTAGTATATTACTGTACGTACGTAAGAAGCAAAAGTGTTGGAAGGAACTAATATGAAACTCGAAGTTCCTGAAGTCCTTGATTTTTACGAGAGATTTAAAACGATTTTCAAAGTCCTTGATTTAAGGAAAAGATAAAATCAGTTTGAAAAGATTTGTTTTACAAACAAATAAAATCTAAATAATTCTTTAATTTAAAAGATAAGTTTATTTTAAATTAATTAATTGTTTAAATATCTTTTTAATAAATAAATATTTATCTTTTTAATAAATATTCTTTTAAACTGATTTTGACTGAGTATTTTTCAGTTGCCTAAAATTATGGATTCATGTTGAACTTGGGAGACAAGTCAGTGAAGCATGTTTCTCCTCTTCCTCAACGTACACTTTAACTTCCAAGTTATGGTGAACGTGGGATTGAGGGGAAAGTGGGAACATGATTGAGGCTTAACTAATCTCCCTATAAAAAGCATTCAACGTTGCTGTTTTAAAGTGTGGAAAAACAACTTAAGTTTTCTGAGCGTAAAAGTTTCTAAGTGTTTTGAAACCAGAGTTCCTTCCATCCTTGAGTTTCTCAAGTGCATTAGGGAAATCCTTGTAATTACTTTGTAATTGGGATTGGGGTTTGTGAGAGTTGTAAGCGTGAGGCTTGAGAGAGTTCTTCACATTGTACAAGTGATTCGGAGTAGAATCACAAAGAGAGTGAAACTGCGATTGAGGGATCGTAGTTGGGTAACTTGAGTTCCTCACAGAACTTGAGTCTAGGCAGAATATTAGCGATTGTAATTCATCTTTACATAGTGAAATTATTCATTGCCTATCTCGAGTGTCTTCTCTCTTAGTAGATAATTTAATTCCGCAAAATTTTCTATAGTCTACAATTCACCCCCCCTCTTGTAGTAGACATTGTTCTATCAATAATATATACATTCACATTCACATGATATTTATATCCAAATGGTTTGAAGTCCTTTAACTTTCTCAATAATCACAATCAAATAGTCCAATATTTTGGCATTTAAGCATAATCATAAGACCCATTTGATACTTCACTAGTTCATGAACAAGACAAGCTCATCTATCTTCCAATATCAATTAACAACCAAAAGCCATGTACAATAGTCCATGGATATTGATTATAACTAGAGTACCTCACAAATAAATCTAACCTCGGAATCTTTTTTATATTTGATATAAAGCCAAAAAAAAATACTACTTGATATCCATACATTACCCAATTTTTAGCATTGTTGTTCATACACACAACAATACGTAAATCAAATCTCACAATCATCCCTGTTAAAGAATAAAGTAGACTGAAGCATTCCAGCAGTATATGTAGTCAGATTATGTAAAATATAACATTCCAAATTCAAACTTAGTAAGTATAAGTAAATATTATTACCATGAGATAGCTAAAAGACCTATTAACTCCCTACAACTCTATTGAAAATCTGATAATAAACTTGTCAATTGAATTCTACCAACCTTAACTAACATCCGATATTAATCTAATTCGAATTCAAGCTCAGTTGCCAAATCGACTAAGAAGCACTTAGTGCATTAGAAAAATGAAAGCAATACACCATTACAGAATAATCCATGCTACAGCCTAAGTCTTTAGAATCACATTTATTCTACAACTTCCACTTAACCAAAAAAAATTAATACTAGATAGATGGAAAAATGTCCAAGTAAAATCTAACCTACACCGATAAATTTTAGGCAAAACACAGCCCCAAAAACAAAGTCACAATTACAAGTAGGCATTCATTGGGTAAAATTGCCGCACCATTTGACAATTGAAAACATACGAACATACATTATGGATTTTATTGGATTTCATTAGATGATACCCAAAAAAACAAAAACAGACATTTTCCAAGCAAATAAGATATTATTGACATATAAGCAAGATAGATCATATAATATTTTTTAAGCATAGATAAACAGGCAACATACCACGAGAGTTCAAAGCTAGATGGGAATCCAATCTTAGAATCAATCCGCTGTCCAACCACATCAGGCGAGAACCATGCGACATGAACATGAATAGCTAAATCATCCAGCAAGATTGAACTTGATGTTATTCTCCCATCTTCAACCGACAACTTCACTGATTGATCAACAATTTTACGCATTGTTTTAAATTCATACAAATTAAGGTTCACAATAAGAGAAGAATAAGAAGGTAATGACACCCAACATCTTGAAAGTGGAAACCGTTTTGCAGGATTGATCTCAACAGGGAAGTCACTATCTTGCTTCTCAAACAGAACACAATCTTCTGAAGAATAATTCCCATATGTGTTGGCATAACGAGCAACAATCTTTCCATTCACATTCAAACCATCATGTTGTTTACCTTGTCTGCTACACACCTTGATCTCTATTCGGCAATGAACCCCAAATGGAATACAAATGTAATTAACAATGATAGACCCTTGCTCGCAATCAATGGACATAGACTTGACTTGTTCATAATCAAATTCAAAATT